CAAAGTTCAAACTATGTCGGATGTTTATGATAATTTGTTACTGGTTGTTAATGTATTCGCTTGTTAATGTTAACTTTTCTAGTGCGAACAAACTTTTAATTTACAGTGTTTAAATTTGATCATGCATATTGCATATAACATTGATCTAGTACTTTGAAAATCATATTAAAAGTCACCAAATTTGCATCTATATGGGATTTTAATTCATGTTATTATTCAAATTATTATCCAGAATTTAATTCATATTAAAAATTTATCAATTCATATCAAAGTCATAATTAACTTAACATTGTAAAAGTTGAATATAAGTTTCTTTTCAAATTCAAAGAAGGCTACTTTAAAATTTAAAGAGGGTTACGCCAATTAAAAAAAAAAACTAACTTCTTAACCGAATTTTTTCCTGGTTTTTTTCTTAAAAAACCGAATTTAACTGAACCGGTCCGGTTCGGTTTGAACCGGTTTCCGGTTCGGTTCGGTTAATTTTTTATATGAATTCTATAATTCGGTTCGGTTAATTTTTTAGGTCTGAACCGAACCGAACCGAACCGTGAACACCCCTAGTTGCATGAGCCAGCCTATTTAAAATTTTCTGGTAACTTCAATTATGTGTATTTGTTTTCTAATTAAATTTGCTATTTTAAGCTCTAATAGTTATATAACACAATAACTCTCTCTCAACATTGCAAGACTCTTATATCTATTGAAAAAAGATAAGCTATCAAGTCAATTCGCAAATAATAATAATAATAAAAAAAAAAGATTAAATGGTTAGATTAAAAGAAAAACATAACAATCAAAATTAGATATAAAAAAATCATAAATATTTTTCCTTCTCGAGCAAGCCAGTCCTCAATAGAAAATAAAATTGAAGGTGTTCAAAAGTTTTAAAGCCGATTCTCAAAACTTTAATTGATTTAAACAAATAAAAAATAATTTTATTTTACAAAATCGGCTGTTAACTTAGCAATGAAGTATTAGTTTGACACCTCAACGTCCTCGTTCATAGATATTCAAAACAACGCGCAAGCAAAGCCTAAAAACCCACATTATTATGATATTAAAGGGTAAATTAAAAAAACATAAAGTAAAGGACCAAAATATAATATACCTAAGGATAAAAAAAATAATAACAATAAAAAATCACCGTGGATCACTGTTGTAAACCATAATTATCTGTTTCACAGTGAACAATAACTTCTAGGGCTTGGGATTGTATTTTAAAAGTGTTCTTAAAAATATTTAATTTTTTTTATTTTGAATTAATATATATTTTTTTATTTTTAAATTATTATGATGTGTTGATTTTAAAAATAATTTTTTAAAAATAAAAAATATTATTAATATATTTTTTTAAATAAAAAATATTTTAAAAAACTAAACAACTACATTTCTAAATATAATATTCACCACGAGGCTTTGTTTTTTTATTGGAATCTGAATTGTAAGTGTAATGATCATATAATAATTTCCAACTTATTTATCAATACAAGTTTTTTATAGAATGTTTTCCATTATTAATCATCTTTCAAGAATTTAAGAGTATCTCGTGATCGTGATTAGCTATGAGATATTTTTTATTGATTATGTTTTTCAAATATCATCAATTTAAAAGTGTAATGATGTGCTTACTTGCAAATCAAGGGGTCAGTTCCAATTTATTTTATTCTGTCAGCCGAACAATAATGATTTGTATTCCATGCCTTCACCTTTTTTATTTATTTAAAAATACAAAATATATTTTTTATTTTTTAACATCAACACATTAAAATAATAAAAAATTATTAAAAAGTCAATTTATTAATTTTTTAAGGAAAATATACTAAAAAACAGAAACTATCAATATTCAAATTCTCACCAAACGTCTTCTTTACCGTCTGAATTTTTTGAGAAATAAATTTTGAATATGCTTCTTCCTTTTTCTTTTTTTTTTTTTCCTATTCTATCACGAGAAAGAAAGAAATAAATTTTGAATGCAAGTGAGGTTCTAGCCTAGCGGTGGGAGGGGCTTGTCCCCTTCCTCCGCACCTGGGTTCGAACCTCACCATGCACGCCTGTCACCCCCGCGGTGCCTTACCTGCTCACTGGGCTTGCAGGATGTTCAGTGGGCCGTGAGGATTAGTCGTGGTGCGCGTAAGCTGGCCCGGACACCCCACGTAAATCAAAAAAAAAAAAAAAGAAGGAAAGAAGATAGTGTCGATATAGAACACGAGAGTGGAGTCGCTTCACGACATAGAAGGAAGGGTAGAGTTGTAAAAGACAGGGATAGAAAAAAAATAGCTGGGAATGAGATCCATTGCCCTTTCCCGGTGTCACCATCCCAAAGATATGCGATAGTGATATTTGGCCTTCGCCCTCTATTCATTTATTTTTTTATTTTGCAAATTTAGATTCTTTCTGCCATGAATTGTTTTATAGCGTGTTTGTTCCATGTTAAAAAAATATTTTTGAGAATTATAGATTTAAGGTAAATTTTAATTATTTCCTGGGTTTTAGTGTCTTTGTCAATTGATCATGTATTGTTTTAATTTGTTCAGCTAACCCCTATAGTTCCAATCTGCCCGGTAATCTTTTCTGTAAGATTGGAACAATTCATTTCTCTGCTTTACTTTTTTTTAAAAAAATAATAATTTGTATATAGGTTTCTCAAACATACATAATTTTTACCAATAATACATCGTCACTTATTTATTTTGAGGGAGACAATCTTTGTAGTTTTGTTTTTTAACTGGAAATTGAATGGTAGGTGAGAATCCAGCCTTTCTCCCTATTAAAGTCTTCAATAAATCTAACAGATTTCTCAAGTAAATTAAAATTAAAAATCACATTAAATGACAAATTGAAATTATAAATGGATAGTTGACAAAAAAAAGATCTTCAAATTAAATGAGATATGGAAGTATGGTGGTTAGCTGACATTTTTAAGTTTTCACGGGAATAATTGACAAAACAACAGCGTGATGAAGAAAAATTGGAAGCGAGGGAGAGAGACAATAATAACAATAACAATAAGAATAATAATAAAGAACGGAGAAGAAAACTCACAAGCACAGTTCAAATAAATTAGAGAGAGAGAGAGAGAGAGAGAGATTGATGTGCGGAGTGATAATCAAACGAAGATCTTGAATTACCAAATTTGAGAGAGAGAGAGAGAGAGAGAGATTGATTTGCGGAGAGATAATCAAACGAAGATCTTGAATTACCAAATTTTTAGTTTTAAAATTCATGAACCAAACCATGGTGTTTTTTTTTTTCAGTTCGTACTTGTTTCAGATGGTGAGTCAAATTTATTGTTCTGCCTCTCAATGTCAGCCCTCTCGGCGGTCTGGATAGCGTTTGACAAGGAAGTGAGCATTCATGAATTTGTTTTTATAGGAGCAGCAATTTGACCGTCGAAATGGATGATATGATATGCAATCACAACTCTCAATTTTTGGATTGATTGATGTTCGAGAAAAATAGTGTTTTTTAAAAAAAATTGAGTTTTTTTTTATTAAATTACACTCTCTTTTTTTAATGTTTTTTTTATTATTTTAATATATTAATATAAATAATAATAATAAAATATTATTTTAAAATATTATTTAATAAAAAATATTTTAAAAAACAATTATTATTACACTTGTAAAATGATAAAGAAGATATAAATAAAAAAAATTAACAAAATTAAATTAGTAAAGTTATTATTAGTAAACTGAATATGATTTTTTTTTGTTTGTGATTATTTATTAGGAGGTATTTGAGAATATGGTAATTATTAATTTTTAAAATGTTTTTTTATTTGAAAATGCATCAAAATAATATTTTTTATTTTTAAAAATTATTTTTTATATTATCACATCAAAAAAATTTAAAAATATATAAAAATAATTTTAAATAAAAAAACATGTTAATAAAAAATACAAAATAAATACTTTAAAACTCATACCAAATACAACTTTTCAATAGCAAGTCAACTTTTTCTTTTTTACAATTATTATTGCTATCGTTGATGATATATATCTTTATATTATTTTTCTAAGGAGTGAAAATGCTATGTTTATTTATGTATTCAATTAAATTAAAGATAAGAAATCCATATATTTTATATTGATATCAAGGTTACAATAATTTTGATTATTATTACATGTTTGGTACTGATAATGTAACACATATAATATATTTTTAATTTAAAATATTAAAATAATAATATTTTTTATTTATTTTTATTTTTTTAACTATAATACATCAAAATCATGTTAAAGTGGTAGCGTGGAGCATTACTCTTATGTTTGGATTCTAGAAGCCACTTTGTGCTTATTTGGTAGTGTGCTTTGAAAATATATATGAATATTTTTAAAATGTTATATTAATATTCTCAATGCAAGATTTTAATATGCTAATATTAAAAAAATACCAAAAAAATATTTAAATATATCTTTAAATAAATAACATTTTAAAAAAAAACATTATACACCAATACACGCTTCTATAGCAGGCAGTCTTGAATTTTAATGCCAACCCAAGCTAGAGATTAGACGAAAGTAAGAGGAAAAACAAAAAGTCATCCAAATAAAAGCAAATCTAACCACAGAAAAGGCAAAAAACGAGAATTGAAAATGCATCCTCTTGCTGTGTTCTAGACCCATAAAATACAGGCAAGGAAAAAAGTACCAATGTCAAGTCAATGCGAAATGCAGACTATAAACAGAAAGAGAGAGAAACAAGAAGGGGGGAGGAAGTATGGCGTGGGAGATGCCCTAATAAAATAAACAAGAAAGACAGAGAAGAGAGAGAGAGAGAGAGAGTCAGTGAAGACTCATGGCTCTCATAAGAGAGAGTAGGAGTTATAACTCATAGTTTAATAGATTGTGCAAGGAGGGAGGGAGTTGGCGTATCTCCAAAAATCCTAAAAATTCGATTCAGTTTGCTTTAAAAAGCAAGGGGCAGATAAAAGTTTACATATCCACAAACGTTATATTATAAATAAATACAAAACCCAAGATCAAGACTGTCCAAATCAAGTTAAAATAAATAAAAAAAAACTGCGTGTAAAAACTTAGCCATTATTCAAAGCACCTCCACCTTTCTCTCTCTTGGACTACAGAAAAACCCACCATTGTTGATTGAGTTTGTTCCCTTCTTTCAACACCCTCCCTCTTATCTCTAAAAAGCATTTTGCTCGCTTGTGCTTCGCTGTTCGTGTTCTTTGGTCAATATGTGTTTAGATTTGTAGTTAGTGCTGCTAATTTTTATAATACTAAACGAACAGCAGTGAACGTGCTTCTTCCTGTCTCGTTGCCTCTCGCGCACACTATTCCCCTCTCTCTTCCTGTCTCCCATGCATAGTTAAAAAAAGAAGTGAAAGTGAAAATTAAAATTAAAAATACTAAAATCTTCACGCCTGGAGATGAAAATGATTAGTGTTTTTTCTTTTTATACAAAACAGTCTGTTTTGAGAAGTGAATGAAAGAGAGAGTCTTTGGAATTTGGGCTGTTTTCTACCTTTCGAGACTCATGCTTGTGTCTAATTAACAATCCAGAACTCTTTTATTTTCAATTCCGGGTCTCTCTATTCAGTTCTTCAGATGGGTTTCTTGAGAGGGATTTGTTTATTTCTCTAATTTCTTTTGTCTTCCTCTTTTGCTCAAATCACGCTAAACAATGCTGTAAATGATAATTTACTTGTAGTTAAGCAACAGCAGTGCCACTTTTCTCTGTACATCAGAAGAAGAAAAAAGGTCTCTGTACATCAGAAAAAAGGGTAGCTGCAACATTGCTGCCTTGTTAAGGAGTATTACCTTAGACATACATGGCTGTTTTGTGTCCCTGTGTTATTGGGTTTTGTCCTTGTTAGATATGAACTGGGGGTCAGAGAAACAAGGAGAAAATCAAGAAGAAACTGAGAGATTTTAGTTCTTGTTGTGCTCGAGTCCATCTATGGCGTTGAATATACAGCAAAGCTACCGCCACTCAGTGGCTGTTAAAATGAATGGGCAAATGGGGACCAAAAGGGGGTATACATTTATACAAGCCAACAGGACTTGGCTTCCCAAGATTCTGTTGCTCTGGGTCATGGCCATGGCACTTTTTAGTTTGACAATATACAATGGCATGGATGCTGATAATAGAGTGAGGAGGAAGGAGGTGCTGAGTAGCATGTGTGATCAAAGGGCTAGAATGCTGCAAGATCAATTCAATGTTAGTGTCAACCATGTTCATGCCCTTGCCATTCTTGTCTCCACTTTTCATTACTACAAGAACCCATCTGCAATTGACCAGGTTTGTACTCCCTTCTTTCTCTTGAAACTTTTGATTTCAGTTTTTGTTAGTTGAATTTTGAAGGTTCTAAATGGTTGCCGGCGAAAAAGACAAAAAATAAAAGAAGGGAAGATGATTTTGGAATCTCAGTTTGTTTGATGTTCTGTTCCCAGACAAAAAAATAAATAAATGGAAAACTCACTTCGATTTAGCCACTAGTCATGGAAGGTTTAGTTAACTTCGATTTCTGCAGAATTTTTCTTTCTTTCTTTCTTCTTCTTCTTCTTGTTTTTTCTTTTTTTTTTTGCATTGAAGTTGTTTAGGCTGTTTTGTTCCTCAACAAATTATGGTGAAGCCATTGGAAACTTACATTTTCTTGCGATTTGGCTTGCAAGACGTAAAAAAAACTCGATATGACTTCGTCAAATGTTTGTATACGACTAGGGAGTTCTTTCATCCTTCGATACCTTGTTATCCGATTGTGCATGCTGAGATTTGATTTTGACAAAAACTGCAGGAAACCTTTGCTGAGTACACTGCTAGAACTGCTTTTGAGAGGCCATTGTTAAGTGGCGTAGCCTATGCACAAAGAGTGGTCAATTCAGAGCGGCTGGAATTTGAGAGGCAACATGGGTGGACAATAAAGACAATGGAGAGGGAGCCTTCACCCATTCGAGATGAATATGCACCTGTTATATTTTCTCAGGAGACGGTCTCCTACATTGAGTCTCTTGACATGATGTCAGGGGAGGTAACTTTTTGAGTCTGTGACTTGAATTTGGATCCCTTGTTTACACCATTTACGTTTTAGTATCTAGTTTTTAAGTTTTCTTTGGCATGATGCAGGAGGACAGAGAAAACATACTGAGGGCTAGGGCTACCGGGAAAGCTGTTTTGACGGGCCCCTTTAGGTTACTAGGTTCTCATCACCTCGGTGTTGTATTGACATTCCCTGTTTACAAATCTAAGCTTCCTCCAAGCCCAACTGTGGCCCAGCGCATTGAGGCAACCGCTGGGTAAGTGTTGGTTTATATTAACATTTTCAATTAAATTCTGTTTCGATTTGAAAAATATATAGGCTGACTAGAAGATTCGACAAAACATGGTTCTATGATGTTACTCAGAAAATTCTCTTTATGCTTCAGCAGTTTATTTTAGATACTAATTTTGAGCTTAAAAGTTTCGCCTTTTGGTTTGTTAGTGTGATGAGATTATTTGTTTGATGCCATTAAATTTGATCTGTTGGTGCATAATAAATATGACATTTTGAGACTTTGTTTCATCTCTCCTTTTCCTTGTTTTCCTATCTTCTTGCTGCAATGCTGCATATCTACAATATCATATATTAGAAAAAGAAAAAATCTCGTTCTGTTTCACAGAGACAGTTTTGTCGCTTCAAAATGATTCAATTGTTTTATTTTTGTAAAATAGCTTAAAAGATTTGGCAAGGTAAATCCTTTGTTACTCTATATGCTTGTCATTGACATGAAAATTTGGCAACCGTTATTGTATCAGCAGGTGTGCAGTTTAGATTGAGGTGTTGTTTCTTCGATATGGATATGATGGATTTTATTTCCCCCATGCTGCCTCTGAATTTTAGCAATAATTTTGTGTTTAAATGCAAATTTGCTCCTCATTGTGATCGTTGTTCTACAACCTTGAACCAATTTCTGATTTTTCAAGTGTACCTCTCCTGAGCTGTCTAGAGATGGAAATTTAAAACTTCTTATTGAATTGCATTTCACTATTAGCTATTAGAAAACAGACAGTCAAATGCTCTTTTAGGCCTGTGGTAGTGTTTGATGTTATGGCTGGAATTTCATCCACGTCACCTTTATTTCCTGGCTATTTGGGCTCCCCGTGTTGGAATGCTTCATCCCTTACAGTTTGGTTGATGCCATGTATTTTGTAGAAAATATGGTATCATCTATTAATATAGATTTCAAATTGAAAGCAGATACCTTGGTGGAGCCTTTGATGTCGAGTCCCTTGTGGAGAATTTACTCGGACAACTTGCTGGGAATCAGGCAATTTTGGTGAATGTTTATGACATAACTAACTCTTCTGACCTTTTAATCATGTATGGTCACCAAAATCAAGACGGTGACATGTCTCTTTTGCATGAAAGCAAGCTTGATTTTGGAGATCCATTCAGAAGGCATCTGATGACATGCAGGTAAATGTATCAAATCACTGATCTTGATTTCCTAAGATAAATGGAAGAGTGAGTTTCCGGCATACAAATGCTTATAATTTGAAATCTCAGCAGGTACCACGAGAAGGCACCCACTTCATGGACTGCACTCACCACAACTTTCTTATTCTTTGTGATCGGTTTACTAGTGGGTTACATCTTGTATGAAGCTGCAATTCATATTGTAAAGGTCGAGGATGATTTCCATGAAATGCAGGATTTGAAAGTCCAGGCTGAAGCTGCTGATGTTGCTAAATCCCAGGTATTTTTCTCAACATTTCTGTGATGAATATAACTGAACCGCCCTTGTTTTCTTGCTGTAGCATCTTCTTACCTGAGTATCATTGTGTTCTTGATGCCAGTTTCTAGCTACTGTATCTCACGAAATCAGAACACCTATGAATGGCATCCTTGGTATGCAAGATCTCTCCTTTTCTGGAATATGAAAAATATTCAATGTTCTTGTCTTTTCATAATCAGTGGTATGGTCTGTGCACAATTGCAGGAATGCTTGCTTTGCTACTAGATACAGATTTAAGTTCAACCCAGAGGGACTATGCTCAAACTGCTCAAGTCTGTGGAAAGGCACTGATAGCTTTGATAAATGAGGTGCTTGACCGGGCAAAAATTGAAGCTGGAAAGCTAGAGCTGGAAGCAGTTCCATTCCATATTCGATCCATAGTAGATGATGTCCTTTCTTTATTTTCTGAGAAGTCTAGAAACAAAGGCATTGAGGTAAGTCTTAGGGAAACAGAATAAGGGCAAGTCAGTAAATTCATATCTTTTCTTGTTAGCTGAAATGAATTCTCTTAAAGGGACCAAAGACTTGTTTCATTCTTTTCCTTGGGTTGAAATATCGCGTCTGGTTTTTGGATTTTGTAAAAGACAAACTGCCAAGTTTCTCTTTTATGTTTAATCTGACCTTTTCTTTTTTTCTTCTTTTCCGTGGACTCCTGATGTCAATTGGTGGTGGCATTCTGGATGTGTTATCTCATTGTAAAAAATGCCTGAAACACGGTTGCGTAATCAATTGTGGAAGTGCAGCTGGCTGTGTTTGTTTCTGATAAAGTTCCAGAAATTGTTGTCGGTGATCCTGGGAGATTCAGGCAGATTATCACAAATCTGGTGGGGAACTCTGTTAAGGTTAGTGTATTGCTTGAATTTTGTTATACAGTTCAACCTACTAGAATGTATCTGTATGATTTCTTGTTAGTTTATTTATCAATTAGCCAACAGTAATAGTGATAGAGGTTTGTCTTAGCACAAATATTATGTTTTACTATGCAGTTTATGATGAATCCAATAATGATTTTTTTTTCACCATTAGCTTTATTGCTTTCTTTAGAATTCGACCTCTTGTTATAATTGACATTTAATTCTGTTTGGCAGTTCACTGAAAGAGGACATACATTCGTTAAAGTTCATCTGTATGAACATGCCAAGGCCACGACAGATACAAAAGCAGACACTTGTTTAATTGGTGGGTCCAATGAAAGTGTGCTTATATCAGGGTCCCAAAAGTTCAAAACCTTAAGTGGTTGTGAAGCAGCAGATGATCAAAACAGTTGGGATGTCTTTAAGCATCTTTCCGATGAAGATTTCCGATTTGATGCCTCAATAAATGTAATGACCAGCAATGAAGCTTCTGAAAATATCACTTTGATGGTATGTGTGGAGGATACAGGAATTGGCATCCCCTTAAAAGCCCAGAGTCGTGTTTTCATGCCCTTTGTGCAGGCAGACAGTTCAACATCAAGACATTATGGAGGAACTGGGATTGGATTGAGTATAAGCAAATGTCTGGTTGAGCTCATGGGTGGTCAAATAAGCTTTATTAGCCGACCTGAGGTTGGAAGCACATTTTCATTCACAGCTGTTTTTGGCACGTGCAAGAAAAATGCTTTCACCAAAATGGAAAAACGCAATGCTGAAGATTTGCCTTCTGGCTTTAGAGGATTGAAAGCATTAGTTGTTGATGGAAAACCAGTTAGGGCTGCTGTAACCAGATACCATTTGAAGAGGCTTGGTATCCTAGCTGAAGTTGTGAGTAACCTCAAGGTGGCTGCTGGTAGCTGTGGGAAAACTGGTTCTCTAACATCTGGGTAAGTTCATTTGGCTGGCTTTGCCCCTAATCATTTTAACTTAATTAAGAAATTGAAAGGTTCTAATGAAATAGCAAGAAACATGTGTGAATCTTCTGCCCATCACCAATGTCCATGGTTTGTGTTTTGGTTCGATCTTAATGAAAAAACACGTTAAATCATTCCACTTTTCATGCCACTTTGTGTCTTCAGGAGGGTAAGCTCGTTTACTAGATTGTGGCTTCTGTGTTTTAACTTAGAAATGACTTATTTTCATGTCTTTGCTGCTATGATGCACATCATCTGCCCAAGATTCAGATTGCAGTGTGTTTATCATATAGAATTCATATCAGGAACAGTGTTGGGAGTGTGTAGTTGTAATTGAATTTTTGCAATGCCAAGATTTCTACTGAAACTTTATTGCACTGAGTTGTTGGTTGGGGATGGTTTATGGATTTTTTCTCTCTCCTTATCTTTCTTGACAGCTTTGGCCTAACTGTCAAGAGTGAGTTCCAATGTTCACAAAATAATTTCGAAGTAAGATAACTGTAGGCCGATCAGCAGGGTTTTTATGTGAAAGAGTATGTTAAAAGCATAAAAGCCTATATTTTTCCTTCACTTAATAATGTAAGCTTTTTTCATAAAAACTTTTGGATTGAAATTTTCCTTGATAGGGTAACCAAAGAAAATTACTCTCTCATGGAGTGTCTCCTAAATTCTTTGGAGTGCACTTCTATTGTGCAAGCACTTGTAGTTTTGGCTGATACAGAAACCGTTAAAGAATTGATCTGAATCAGAAACGTATCAAATAATAGTTTTTATAAAAGATAACTCGTGAAGTAGCCGATAAAGATAGATCATTGATAGAGCTCCTACATTTACATTTTGTTGAGAATTTGAAATTCCATGCTACCTTGTGCTTGGCATAACCTCTTTGTTTTAAATTGCAGAAGTAAAATCCAGCCAGATATAATTCTAGTCGAGAAGGATGCATGGATTTCTGGGGAGGATGGTGTTTCAAGTGTATGGAAACTGGACTGGAAACAAAATGGACATGCGTTGAAGTTTCCTAAGATGATCCTTCTTGCTACGAATATTACCAATTCTGAATTTGATAAAGCAAAGGCAGCAGGTTTTGCCGATACCGTGATCATGAAACCTTTGAGAGCAAGTATGGTGGCTGCATGTCTTCTTCAGGTGCTGGGCATGGGCAAGAAGAGATCACAAGGGAAATGCATGCCAAATGGATCTTCTTTCCTTCAGAGCCTTCTCTGCGGAAAGAAGATTCTGGTGGTTGATGACAATAGGGTAAACCGCAGAGTTGCTGCAGGTGCGTTAAAGAAGTTTGGAGCTGATGTCGAGTGTGCTGACAGTGGTAAAGAAGCACTGAAATTGCTTCAACTACCACACACTTTTGATGCATGCTTCATGGATATTCAAATGCCAGAAATGGATGGGTATGACTTTGAGATTTTGTTTTGTGATTTTGGATTGCAATGTCCTTTATTTTTCAGCTCTTCTTCCTTGGTTGCTTATAGCATGAAATTATTTTTGTCTATACCCATTTCTCATAAAGCCAAACTGATCGATGTCTTTGATTACCTCTCTTTTTTTTTTCCATTTTTTTTGTTAATGAACCTTTTTGGCATCAAATAACAATATTGCATAAGAAATTTTAGTTCGTATATGGAGAAATTATTAGGTCAGGTGTGTTTTTAGTTGCTCCAATTTGTGGTTTGCAAGGAGCAATGTAATCTTTTTGGCTAAAAGAAGCCATGCTTGTGCCAGTCATATTTGGGCAACCAGAGCTTGGGATCAGAGCAGTAGTGGGAATGGAAGGGCATTTGGTCCTTGTTTCTGGAGATGAATTGCCTGGTTCTTGTATCTTTTCATCTGATTGAAAAGTAACTAGGCTCCATTACTTGTTAAAATAAGTTTAAAGAGCAAATTTCATGCTCCCATAAGTTTCAAACCTTGAAGGATACACAAATTGGTGATCTAGGGGCGTAGGACTCATATTCTCTACCACTACTTATGCATACTTTACAGATTTGATTGCACAGCATCAGGAACTAAGCAAGTACAATTGGCATGCTTTGCATGACGTTTACATTCCAAGTACCATTTACATGGGTTTTTTTCTCCAGGTTTGAGGCAACACGTCGTATCCGGCAGATGGAGAGCCAGGCAAATGAGCAGATGAATGGTGAATCCATGGTAGAAGGAGGAACAGCTAGAAAAGGACAGTGGCATATTCCAATACTAGCAATGACAGCTGATGTGATACATGCCACACATGATGAGTGCTTGAAATGTGGGATGGATGGATACGTCTCAAAGCCTTTCGAGGAAGAAAATCTCTATCAGGCAGTTGCCAGGTTCTTTGATGGCAAATCCACTTTAAAGTCACAATAGGAATCCCCTTGCCTCGTGGGAATTGGGAAAATCCAAATTGGAGAGTTTCTTTGGTTGATCTGAACCAGCAATTTTGAATCACCCGCTGGTGCACTTGGCTCGAGTGGATAATGGACGTTGGTTTCCTTGGATTTTTGATGATTCGTCATCGAAAATAGTTACAGGTTCGCTCAATTATTTCTAACCAACTTCAGTTTAACTTGAATAGATGCTAAGCACATGTATACTAGTAAAGAAGCCTCCGTCCCCACTTGTATGTATAAATCATTGGGAGGGGGGAGGAGCAAAAGTTGTAAATCTTATTCTCTTTTTCCTTTTTTGTTGCTGAGGAATCTTCACCCTTGTTTTGTATTGTTACCTATTCAGCAAGACTTATTGACTAGACATTGCTTTGCCATAGAAGGGTAGTTGAGAGTGAAACCATTTGCATCATTGCATGCGCATTGCCTTGGATAATTGATGGAGAAAGCCATGTTATAGGAATTCATGCTCAATGAAACTTTTCTGTTAATTGCACCATCCAGGGAGTTGCTGGAGCGCGCCTTGTTTTAGTCCCCCTCCACAGGTGGTTTGATATCTATCCCCTGTCATTGCTTGGAAGCTTTGGGATTAATAAAGACAATTTTCTAACGTGCCAATAACGAGTTTCTGTTGAAAGCGCGTTCACAGCTGCGGAATTAGAGCTCAGCATACTTCTCTTTTGATGGTTGCTTGCACTCTATGATTTCTTAACCTTGATGGGTTGTCCTCCTATATATGAATATATTTTGGAAAAATTACAAGTAAGTCCACTAAGTTGAATACACAATAACTTGTAGGCTATTTTTAGTTTGGGAAAAATATATTTGTGGGCCATCTATTCTCTCCCTCTTGTTTTCGTTAGTTTTGTTTTGTAATATAGACCCGAAAGAAAGGGTTAAGATGTTTTTCAGCTCCGGGTGTTCCTGTTTGGTATCAAAATAGCGATTGAGTCGTTTGGAAATTCCTGTTTGGTATTAAAATAGTAATTCAGAAATAATTTTTTTACGTTTTAAAATTTGTTTTTAATTGGATCTTCAAAACAATTTAGAAATATCAAAAAAAAATAAAACAAAGAAATAAAAAAAATAAGTTTTTTCAAAAACTCCAATGAAATGCATAAATAAACGCTTTTTAATTAGTAAGCAGAAGTTGATCGGTATGGTCAGTTAGCTATGGACGGAGGTCGAGTTGTCAAAACCACAACTCGCCGCAAAGTTGAATGTTGATGGACATAAGGTGTCATATGAAGACCAGACCTTCCTCGTAACAGTGGTTCAGAAGGATCGCTTTTCACATATGCGGCGGCGGACATTGATCAAAGTGAATTGGGAGAGGTAGAAGTTTCCTAGCACTTCAATCCAGCTCATCCAAGTTGTCTAAATTGCTAAAATCACATGCTTTCTTCTTCTTCTTGATACCATAACATCAACTATACTTCCTTGATTTCAATACAATAACTAAAGTCGGTAGAGGACGGAATTCACTTATTTAAATAATTATATATTTTGTTTCATAAAGAGGGAAAAAAAGAGTTACTACTAGATATTTATATATACGTTGTCCCCGCTCAACTTTTACCTCACCACTCACCAGCCCTCGCCACCGTAAGGTGGAGACCAGGCCTGAATAGCCATCAGCCCATTGCTAGACTTGTTTAGCTCTCAGCGCGATTTCTAGGCCGAGCATGAGCCCATCAATCCAAGGCACGCCCTAGATTTGTTAAGAGGATAAAAAGAATCTAACGATTTGTTTGTTGATTCTAGAGGCACAGAGAGTTAATACTGGGGATTTCTAGTAATTAGTTGAGCAATAATAATCATAATAATAATTTATTTCATTTCACGGGCGATTTATTTCATAGGAAATATCCGTGATGCTTTCAATAAAAGAATACGTTTTACGAATCACCATTTTTATATAAATGTGTGAATTGCTTGAACAGAGTGATATGACCATGTGCTAGTCGAGGGGGTTAGTTTGGGATTTTAATTATGAAAGAGGCTATTGGCGCAACCTTCTTTATTTTTGGCACATGGAATGCTCAAATTGTCCCTGTGTTCCAGTCACTGTAATTAATAATATTTATTATTATAGCTATAATTAATTAAAACCAAAACCATGATATCCATTGGATATATCAGGCCACAGCAAATTCCAGCCATGTAACATCACAATTCCTTGATATAGCCAGATCATTTAATACCCTTTTAAAATAGAGATGAAGAGTCAGATCACCCCCCATGGATTTCTGGCAGAGATAAATCAGATTGCGAGAGCCCATAAACTGTTTGATTTTTGGAATCTAAGGACAATTGATGTATTTAGTATAAATAAAAATATAAGGCTGTGCTGATAGATAGATAGATAGAAGGGTGTGCCGATAGCAACTCCCTTTAATTGTATGCTGGGTTTAGCATTTCTCAGCCTTCCCGGAACAGTTTCTGACAGCATTAAAATAGTCCGTCGAATAACAGTTTATCCGTTCAGAGGACGCTATGCCCCCCAAGGCCTCGATCTTCTATGGAGGACTCTGTTGGTGGTGCAATTATGCAAGCCCTGGAATGCCCCGAATCCACATGCACCTTTGTTTTTTCTTTCAATTTTTTGCTGCACCAAACGCATCATTTCTCCTCGATTGCCTTCATAATGTCATGTCCCAAATGCATCTTTTTACTCAAAACCATTCATAATGTATGATTTGTTTGGGTACAAATGTAAGAGATAAGAACAATCATACTTTATTATATTCACGACAGGTATGCGATTTGGTGCACCTTTCGAAAAGAGAGGGTGGGGAACGAGTCCAATTAATCTATTAATTGCGGACAAAGAATAAAATGTTCCACTCTGTGTTTCATCCAACTAGAGAATCGGCAATATTATGCTTTTAAAAAAGGCTGGTTCTCCTCGGAAACTCCACAAATAGATATTATAAGGCTGGTGCGCACGCTAAGATGCGGGTTCGTATTATTTGCCCGCTATTATATTTTGGTATTCGCCAATATGTTTTGGAATAAGAAGAGAAATACAGTAACTCAGGTTATTATCTTAACCAATTAAATAAGTTGGAATAATACAGTATTAATTTGGATTAAAAGATAAAACTATAAAAAATTATTTTTTTATAAAAAAGGTTAAGAAAAAAGACTGGAAGATTTTAAGAATAATAATCAAATTGAAAAATACCTTATATAAATTTAAACATGAAAGATTTTTCAACATGTTTTTTTATATTAAAAAATAATAAATATAAATTAAAAAACTTATACATGCATAAAATCAAATAAATTATAATTCATTTTGTAAATAAATTTTACAAAAAAATCATGAACAATAAATACAAATGTAATTCAAGAAATTTGAAAGATCAATATAAATTAAAATATTTAATATCGCAACATAGATTGTTTACATAATTGTGTTTAATAAAAAAAATTTATTAAAATTAATTTGTAATAGAAATCAACACATATAATAATAAAAATACTATGCAAGACTGCATGTATTAAAAGTAATATATATATATATATATATATATATATAGAGAGAGAGAGAGAGAGAGAATGGAGGTATTAATTAAAACATATATTTATAAATTATTTTACAAAAGATATACAACAACCGGTATTAACAAAAAAAATAGATTTTTAATAAAAGAGACTAGGCATTGTTTGACCTATATCTGGCTCGTTCATAAAAAGTTTCGTATATTGGCCTTTAATTTTTTTACTCAATTGTCTGTATAAGAAAAACAAACATCTTCTATAGCTCTTTAGAATCTAGCCACTAGCACGCTTTAAAAAAAAATGAAGTTCTTATTTTACCTAAAAACCTATTTTTTATCCAAAACATCAATGAAACACTTTGAAAGTTTTGTTAAACCAATATATTGCATTCAAAAACATGGAAAAAAAAAAAAGCTTTTTAGAACTCAATATTGAAACAAAAAATCTTTAAGAGTTTAAATTTGGTTTTTTATATGTTCTCAAAGTGTGTGTGTGTGTATATCAAAATGAAATCTTTTGACATAAGAATAAATCATTTCGGTGACCAAAATCTTATCCAATAACAACATTTTCTCTCTAAACTAGAATGTAGTGATTTTCTCTATCCTCTCCATTCAGAAAAGGATTGAAAAAAAATATGAAGTCTTGTGCCAAAATGAAATGTATAACAATTATAAAAAATGGTTACTTAATAGCTTAAAAAGTTAAAGGATTAAAATAAGCTTTGCAAACAAATTGTAGAGACACCATCTATTTTTCTTGTGTTCTTTGATTTAGTTCTTTATCTTTCAATTCAATTCTCATAAAAAAAAATGTACAATTAAGCTTTAATTTAGACTAAAAAGATTGAATTATATAAAAAAAAAGTTTGATGATGAAATTTATAATTTTCAAAAAAAATTCCACCCAAGAGAAAAAATAGGTAGTTTCACTGTGCAATTTATATAATGAGACATTGAGCTTTTTTAGCTTTATATATAATATATAACTAGTTAGGTATCATGTTTTTTGTTGCGAGACAAACAATTTTTTTATCTATAAAAATTGCATAAATATTGTTAATGCTTAAAATAAGATTAAAAAAATGATTTTGTATCAAATAAATTTAATTCATATTATTGTATTTAATTTTGAGACTACGTCATATTAGATTGACACCGATTAAAACAGTTTTATCATAACCAATTTTTAACCCCATATTAAAAAAGAAATTTCTCAAGAATTTGTAAATTTCTTAAAGTAAGAAATTTCAAAAAGAAATTTTTAACCTCATATTAGATTGATCAATACTTGAAGCATAACAATCTCTCTTTTCTAAGTAAGAATTTAAAAAATTTCTCACGGTTGTTAATATGAATTACTGTTAGAGGTCGGACAAATCCGACGACTTGTGATTTGTAACAATCTAACATTTAAAGAATTATTCAAAGTCAAAAAATATTAGATCTTCAAATAATAAATTTATAAATAACTCTAGATTTGTCGAACGAAATCTTAAGACTCCTGAATAATTTTATTTTATTGTTTTCATTGCATGTGTGAAATTTAGAAATCTAATAGCAACCGCTATCACAAGTGCCAGGTCAATCTCTATGACCTTCTTTCTTTAGCCTCGACTTTGATCCGCCTAAGAAATAAGTTGAAATAATAGTTCTTTTTTTTCCAAGGTAACTCAAAGGTCACAATTTTGATTCCTCCTAAAAAATTGTTGTTTTTTATTGGCTTATTTTTGTAGGTTCTAGTAGCCACATGAGGAGCGCACACTACCATCAAGAACAACACATGACTTGTAAGCACTTGACTAGCACACACTAATATTATTTCTTCTCGATTCATTATGTTTTGCTTATTTTTGACAGCTCAGTAGGTTAATTATTAGATTCTGATGAATATATTTTTATTAGCTTTGAATATTTGTAATATGATATTAGATAGATTCTT